CCTTGCTAACATGAATAGGTTTAAACCATGATCCATAGTACATAACATGTAGTTGTACTATGGATCATTTAAAGTCACCTGCCCCTTTAAGAAAAAGTATCGGTAATTGGTATCGGCAAGTACATGAGGGGATGTACTTGTACTTGGGACTGAAAAAGTGGCATCGGGACATCCCTAATTGTAATATTTTGTCATTAGTCTCTCAGTGTCTCGGTTTAAATAGGCGCTGGACGGTTAAACCATTGGAGTAGATATCTTATGCGCGGCGGAGCAGTGTCTTCTTGGCGAATGTATGGACGCCGGCTGGGGCCTCCCGTGCAATGCATGGATTTATTGGCTTGCGTGGATACATTTGTTTGGAACGCAGTATATGAAAGGAACGTGCGTTTATTGTTCCTGGTGAGTCTGATCAACCACTAGAGATAATGACGTTGTCCCTGTGAATGAGCGCGCATGAGAATCATAGTAACGTTATGTGGCATTGCTCACTGAGCAATGCTGTATAAAGTCACTCCGGTGGTAATAGATTATTCTACTAATGTGTTTTGTTAGCTGGCTCCTGTTCACTTCCTGTCTGCCCCACTTCCTGGTTTGCTGGTTGTTGAAATCATCTGCTGGTTTGCTATCACTTCCTGCCTCGCGGTTTGAGACACACCTTCCTGTCTGACATCACTTCCTGTTGGGCAGGTATAAAACAATAAACATGCTATCACTTCCTGCCTCGCGGTTTGAGACACCCCTTCCTGTCTGACATCACTTCCTGTTGGGCAGGTATAAAACAATAAACATACCTGTGCTCAGGTCTCTAAGCATGGGATTATCAAGCAAGCAACACATGTCTCCTGTGTCCTGACTCTACATGACTCTGAAAAGGATACTTCTAGTCCTTGCACAAAAGAGCGTAGTACAATGGGGGAAATTCTTTGCGTTTGGCGCAGCTTAATGTGGCATGGATTTGGTCGTTGAACCAAGTGAATTTCCGTAACACCACCCGGCTTCCCGATTAGCAAGGAAGCCAGCTTACTGGCCAATCATGGAAGCCGGGTGCCGTGTAATGACTCGGCATCCGGCTTCCTGATTGGCCGGGAAGCTGGCTCCATGCTCTCTCGTCATGAGGTAACGAGGGAGCATGAAGCCAGCTTCCCGACCAATCAGGAAGCCGGGCAGCGCGTCATTACAGGACGTATCGGGATAGGCATCGGCGCATTTGGGCGAGTACGAGTACTCGCTCAAATACTCGGTATCGGCACCGTTACTGGTATCAATATAGGTGCATCCCTCTTAGGGACCTTCCGGCTTGTTATCAGCGCTCAGTTCAAAAGTCTGCATCTCTGTTGGTATGGAGGTGCATTAGTGTGTATGGAATGGGCAACTTGCACATCTGGAAAGGCACCATCAATGCTGAAAGACATATCCAGGTTTTAGAGCAGCATATGCTCCCATCCAGATGATGTCTTTTTCAGGGAAGGCCTTGCATATTTCAGCAGGACAATGCTAAACTGCATACTGCAGCTATGACAACAGCATGGCTTCATGTTGGAAGAGTCTGGGTGTATAACTGGCCTGCCTGCAGTCCAGACCTTTTTGCAATTGAAAAATATGACAAAGAAGACCCCCAGGACTGTTGAGCAGTTAGAATCCATTGTCAGGCAAGAATGGGACAACATTCCTCTCCCAACACTCCAGCAACTGGTCTCCTCAGTTGCCAGATCTTTACAGAGTGTTGTTAAAAGAAGAGGGAATGCCACACCGTGGTAAACATGGCCCTGTCCCAACGTTTTTAAGACGTGTTGCTGCAATCAATTTCAGAATTACCTTTTTTTTTTCTTAAAATGGTGCATTTTCTCAGTTTAAACATTTGACATGTTTGTGTTTGAGATTTGCAGATCATTGCGTTCTGTTTTTCTGTTGATTTTACACAGCGTCCCAACTTTTTTGGAATTGGGGTTGTAAATCAGCAATCCGTAAAACCTAAAACCTTTTAGTAACTAAATAACAAATAACGATTCCAAACCAATATTTTGGCATGTGAATCAATTTTTTTTTATGAAAACAATTTTTGTAATAGAGTTACAAACAAAATTTAAATAACTCATAATGCTAAATGCATTACCTTTTTATTGTAAAGACTTTTTGAAGGAAAAATAAGTTAATTCTCCTTAGATATATAACCAGTAGGAGACTATTTGTCGGGGGTTGGGTGGGTGGATATTTTTAATTTAGAGTCTAATATTAGAGATAACAGTCAAGTCAAAACATAGATTTTTGGACAAACTTTAAGATAATAGTGGAGGGCCAACGGTTAAGAGATCACAGGCTGACTAGACAAATAGACAGCACACAGCCATTTGGTAATAGATGAAGAGGGGCTTAATCAGTAGATGGTGGAAAACATTGAAGGGTCATATCACTTGGAGGTGGTAGGAAAAACTCTCACCACTGACCTAGTAGAGCTTTTTCTTTACCTGTGCCCCTCACTGTGTGGGTGGGTTTGAATGTAGAATACTCACAGCCTGCAGCTCTTTGGGCTGACTTGCTTTTGACAGCTGACATAAAGGCAGTGGTAGGCTTACTACAGTCAGAGATCACAAAGGAATTGACTGAACTATGCTATACAATCTCTGGCTAGAAACTCAAATGGTGAATTGCAAGTGCAAAACCTGACAAGTAAATCACTGAGGCTAACAGAGGCAGGTGAACAAAGAAGACAACAAACACTGGGCAGAGGTTAAGAGATGAAACCAAGACACAACCTGTAGCTAGACTGAGTGCAAGGCAGGAGACTGAAGTGAAACACAGGACAATAACCTAAACTGACAAAGAGTAGATCCAAGTGCAGATAAGGGTAATCAAAGTCACTGACCTGTGGGATTGGGACTGCAAATGGAAACAGAGATAGTATGCAGAACAGGAGTTCTGCTTAACATTGACTCTAATCTGTATTCTTTTTCTGGATCAATGACACAAAAAGTAAAGAGGTCAGAGACAGCAAAGTAGCTAGCATTTTAAGAGAGAGGCCAGCAATGGCAGCCTCTGTTTTTCACCGCATTGGTTTCCTGTAAAAACCCACTGACAGAGTAGAAACAACACAGGAGAGACTAGGTCAGTGGCACAGATTGAGAAAGTCAGCCAGCAGCAGATGAAAGCTTGAAGGGGAAATAATCAGTTATAACAGTGCAGCAAATAAGAAAGGGCAGCAGAAACCAAGAGGGTGAAAGCCAACAAGATCCTTATAAAAGGATTGTCCTAATCATACATCACAGGACACAGGATTGTATTCTTAGACCACTCGTTAGATGCACAAATGTAAAATACTGGATGCAGATTTTTTTTGTGTAACATTGATGGAGATGACCACTGATCAAATAACATGTTAATATTATGTCAAATGCAAACACCTTGAAAAAACTTAGAACATGGACAAAATGTGATGTACTTTTCCCTATAAAAATGCTCATTTCTGTCTTGCAAAAACTATAAGACATAAAACTGTACTGAGAGCTTTCACCTAGGCTGACTTTTTTAGTGTGAAAAAAAAGAATTGGTGTCACAATGTTAAACCCTTATATGACTTGCAGATAAGAAATAAAGTTGTTACCTCTGTGGCCCCAATAATACATTTGATCTAACTGTCCCTATCCTAAATTCAGCCACTTGTGGAAAGAGCAAAGAAGGTGTAGATCCTCTGTTTGTGCTTGATTTTTTTCTTGATTAGAAATATATATATTTTTTAAAATAGTCTATTGAGGGACACAACTTCTGAGACCCAGGGTTATGCTGTATTCCAGGGAAAATGGACACTAGGTAAAAATAATTAAAGCCTGCCACTTTAAGGACATAACCTCTCCCACCTGCCAGTTTCGCTTAGTGTCTTCAGGAGAATGGATGTCTCCTTCTCTTCTGCTTTATTATTTTAGTTTATTTTGTTTCTTTGTTGCAGATTCTACTACCAAGGGCTGCTAGTTGCTTCATAATGATACTATTAAGTCCTGGAAGTCTCTCTAGTTGTAATAGATGTTTCTGGTCTCAGTGCTTCATCCTGTGGTGGTCCTGTGTTCCTGTTTTCATCATTTGGTCAGTCCAGTATTACCTAGGAGTTCCCGTTTTGTCGGGAACAGGGCCATGGAATCTTGAGCAAAAAAAACAAACAAAAAAACCTAATACCATCATTTCAAGTTGCTTATTGGGGAGAACACAGGTGTCCTGTCTTTTACTAACACACAGCCATTCTTGGATTACTGGTATTCTGCTGTCTGCAGCAGGTGGTTGCAGTACCTCCAATTTTTTTTCTCACATCGGTCAGGGCCATGAGTATTATTGTGTCTGACTTTGTGTGAGGCAGAATTGTCAGAACAGGCTGTAATTAGCAGGGCACCATGTGAAAGTGATTTTTTTTTCTTTTCTACTGTCGTTCTGCTGGTTTTATTCAGAAACTAGTGTAATTCTTCCAGTCACAAGTGGTCTGTATATTGCAAGGCCTCTGAGGTTTTGCTATGGTGACCCATACTTGTTATATTTTTTTGTACTTCACAAGTTGGGCAAATGGAGGAGCTCTCCTCCTTATTTTTCCTCAGTTTATTTCCCTCCTCCTTCTCCCTGAATACTGATGACGTAGTTTTCACTCTGCAAGGAGTGGCAGTGCTCATGAAGGTTCTACAGCAGCCAGACATTGATAAAACCTATCTAGGTGCATGGGGCACTCTTTCTTTCATTGATTAAGGAACATAGTGCATAGCTTCAGCCTTTATTAGAGTCTGCAGAAGGATGATCACAGGGCTAAGATATACATGTAAAGAGCTGTAAAAAGTTAATTTAGCTGTCAACGTTAACATTTTGTAATAAAGATTATGCTGTAGTTAGCTTTAGTACCATATACACATGTAGCTGAAAATAATATTTTATTCCAGCTGTTTTTTCATTATTACATATTCTTTTTTTTTTTTTTCTTCCTAAAGCCCTTACATTTTCCCTCCACATGTTCCAGTCCTGGATGATATTGATTCAGAATATGGGCTTCATGGATACCAACTTCAAATTGATATGTATAGTGGGCCAAGAACTTACTTTTGTAGGACCTTCCGTGGTTTATTTTGTCGAAGAGGTAAGTAAGTCGGCATCTGCTGAGACACTTAAACAACAGTACATGAGTGTAAATTGTGTAGACTATTTTTTGAAATATCCAACTTGTATCTGCTGGAATAGCAATATTGTCTACATATTGTTAAATAACTATGTTTATGTTAAGCATATGAATCACGGCTTATAAACAAAGTTTCTTTATTTAGTAACTGAAAACCACAAACAGTGTCTTATGAGAATATCGGAATTAATGCAGGTTCATGTAACCATACACAAATAAGTCTGTCAGAATTTTACACAAACTTTGAACAATAAACTCTTCTTGAATGACCACTTTAAAATGAAAAATTGTTGGGAGTAGTAAGCATAGATATGTTAGAAATGACCTACCTGCATTCACCCAGTTCTTTTCTTCCAGTTCTTCTAATGCTTGGATAACCGTATAGTATAAGCCGTCCCGAATATAAGCCGAGGTACCTAATTTTACCACAAAAAACTGGGAAAAAGTATTGACTCGAATATAAGCCTAGGGTGGGAAATGAGGCAGCTACTGGTAAATGTACAAAATGAAGATAGATACCAATAAAATTACATGAATATTTATTTAAAAGAAAAACAATAACCTAGCTTGGGTCATCTGGCAGTCTCCGGCCACCTAAATTAGGACCCGGAGACTGCCAGATGACCCCGCTCGGAGCGCCGCCCACCGGAGCAGCAGTGACGCGACGCTCGGCGAGGTAAGTAAGAAGAAACCTGACCAGCTCGAGACGCTGACTCGAGTATAAGCCGAGGGGGGCACTTTTCAGCAAAAAAAATGGGCTGAAAAACTCGGCTTATACTCGAGTATATACGGTAGCCTGTAGATAAAAAGCTTTATTTGGATCAGTGGGACAAAGTCTTACTGCAATTGCCTGTGGCCTCGTAGATATGAGAATATAACCCAGAAGGATTAGTTCCAGGGTTGAGTTTGTAACCTCTTTAACCTTTACATAGTTGCTTTGCCAGCCTTAAACACTGACAACAAATATTGATTTATATGCTGTTTTCACTACTTTGCTTCAACATTTCTGCCTCTCTGTAGGTTTTTCTTTCAGTATATATTGAATAGTAGGGATGCACCGATACAGTTTTTTCGGTATCGAGTACCGATATTTTTTTTTTTCAGTACTTGCCGATACCGGAAGTCCCATTAAGGAAGCCGGGTGGTGTGTAATGACTCACCGCCCAACTTCCTGATTAGCCCGGAAGCCAGACGGCATGTAATAACTTTCCGCCCGGTTTCTTTATAATCTGGGAAGCATGGATACGGCTTTCTTGCCAATCAGGAAGCCAGGGGACAAGTAATGTTCGCTGCCTGGCTTCCTCATTGGCCAGCTTCCAGACCAATCAGGTAGCTGTGCCGTACCATTTCACGACGTCTGGCTTCCTGATTGGCCAGGAAGGAGGCTCCATACTACCTCGTCACCAGGTGATGAGAGAGCTTGGAGCCGGCTTTCTGGCCAATCAGGAAGCCGGGAGGCGTATAATGACTTGCCGCCCAGCTTCCTGATATCAGCAGTTCCGATATCAGGATAGGCATCGGGAGCATTTAGGTGAGTAACAGTACTCACCCAAATACTTGATATTGGCACAGATACTAGTATCGTTATCGGTGCATCCCTATTGAATAGGAAATGCCTTTGTTGATCTCAATCACCAGTTGCAAAATTTGGATTTCTGCTGTCAGAAAGGATAACATTTTTGAAACTGGCAAGTGTGCTATGCAGTTATTTTTTGTTTTGTTTTGTTACATACGTATATTAATAAAGCAGATTTCTTTCTTGCTCTGACTATTCCTAATTATGCCTTTCTAGAGCTTAAGTGGACAGATCTAATGTTGTTTACCCATAAAACATTTGAGGACTTCAACACATGACTCTATCTGCTAAGATGTCCAGTGTACTTAGTCGTATACTGTATATACATGTTTTTCTATACTGTAGCTTTGTTATATGTGTTGCATGTTTATATGTGTTGCATGTTTTTATAGTCCCAAGGTCATGGAGTCCTATAACAACTGTATTTTGAAGTAGGTATAGGTAGGTATAGGCCTTTTTGTAAACATTGTCAAGGTTTTGTGTTTATGCGTAAGGATAATTTTAACACGCTTAGCTGTTGTAAAAAAAAAAAAATGTGCTAACAAGTGTTTGTCTTGTTCATGTTAATGGCACCATTTATCCAAATCTTAGAATTTTGCACAAGGACACAATCTATCTGCTTAGCTAGTAGTGATTAGTCACATGCTACTGAACTTGTTCTGTAATCTATCTGCTCCAATTTTAATCCTGACATTCATCTTGTAACTGTAACAAGGTTTACTAGAGCTAACTTTTGTATCACTCCATTTACTTGTCTTTTAGATCACATACACCACACAAGCATTTATATAGCTTACTTAATAGATGTAAAGATGTTAAGCAAATATGCAGGTAGTTCATCATTTATCAGCAGTATACTGAAGTAACACTGACAGGTGTATGTGCAACAGAAATCTTAAATGCCATTCTGCTTAAAATTGTTTAACACCTTCACGACCATCGACATACAGTGTACGTCGCTGGCATCGGGGCTGTTTGAACAGTCTAAGCCGCTGGGACTCTGTTTAAACCTGTAAAGCCGACTGTTGGCTTTACAGTAGAAGCGATTCTGGCGACTCAGCTGTCGCCAGATCGCTTGTACGGCCGGTTGAAGGGGTCCTCCCCGCCGTGTTTCCCGGGCTCCGTTGCCCCTCCTACGGGCCCAGGACCGGCTTCTCTGGTGTCGGTGGGAAGCCCGGGGAGGAGATGCAATAATTCTAGGGCCATTTTTTGGGGTATCTCTAAATTGCTGACCTCTGGGGGCTTTTAAAGCGTTGTCTATGGACTTTTTGGGATACTGAAGTTTGTCACCGTTTCACGGACGCACACAATTTTTAACCTGGGCATGTTGGGTATCTATCTACCTGTTGTAACCTCATCTTTTATATTGTATTTGTATAAAATGGGTATTTTATTGTGTTTTGGGGTATTTAAGTACATTTTTCACTAAATGTTGGGGTTTGATAAGGTGTTGAGCTAATATCATACAACATAAAAATTTGCAAAAGCCACCATTTTATTCTATAGGGTCTGGGCTTTCAGAAAATATACAATGTTTGGGGGTTTTAAGTAAATTGTCAGGCCTAAAATGTGGAATATAACATGGGTGCAAAAAATGGGAAAAAAAGGCCTCAGTCATGAAGGGATTAAAGAAGACTTATTGGAAAGCATGTTGCAATGTTATTCCTGTTTGTTGTGCTGATAGTGATATGTTTTGTGAGACAAAATAAAAACCAAAACACTTTATTGTTTTTGTTTTCTTGCTTGTAATATAAATTGTGTGAAGTTTGTTGCACACAAAATGCTTGGTGTCCTCTGTTAGTATACTGTTTAAAGGCAAGCCAGATAACTGTACAGCTAAAAGACATTACAAAACTAGAGCAGACAGAATCCTGAGCAGTTTCCCATGGCAGCCAATCAGCTTCTACCTTTCATTTTCAAAGCTTAACTGAAGAAACTGAGTAAAAAAGGCTGGCTGGTTACCATGAGTAACTGCTCCAGATTCTGTCTGCTCCGGTTTTGATATATTCCCACCAATATTTTTTTTATGTTTGAAGCTATACACATTCCTTATGATACATCCACCCCTATTGTGTCATATGGCAGTAGGAATCAGACTTTGGAAAGTGCTTGTACACTCTTTATTTTGCACAGACTCCGTATCTCAGAGCCACTCTCCTCCTGCTTTTTGGACTGCTAGCAAATATGAGTACAGCAATGATGTCCATGGGCGCCTTCTTCCACCAATCTGCTTACATTAAAAGCACTCCCATTGTACGCTTTGATTCATATTTTAGTTAACATGTGGCATAGAACCGATCGCAGTTATTCATACTAGCTGAAAATTATATTTTACAAGTTTAGGAAATAATACATAAATAAGCTAAATGGTGTTTTAAATATATGTGCTGTGGGGTTCCCTCATAGTAAAGCTATCTCCAGGTAAAACGATATAATATTTTAATAGTATTTAGAAGCACCTTGTGTTGGCTGCTATCAATTCTTTTGAAATATGGTTCTGAGCACCCATATGTCCAAAACCTGGCTGTTCACTGAACCTGACCCCTCCATACAATCCACAATTCAAAGTCGCACCTCTCTATTGGTTGGTGAAGTGTGTGCTTTGCATTTTGGGTTGCAGGAAGAGACGACGTGAGAAGCAAAGTCGTGTATCCCACCTCAAGTCCCACAGTGCAAACATTAGATAGAGACGTGCTTACTTAGACTCTGGGGTGTATGGAAGCATCAGGACTAGGACCTGGTTTACAGATGGAATATTTTAGCATATGACATATGTACTGGCAGGTTCCCTGTAAATGTATGTTGACCATTTAATTTCTTTATTTGTGTTGTTTTCAGAAGAAAGGCACCCTGACAGAGATTCCTTTAAAGCTTGAGTTTTAAATCTATCTTTTTGGCAGCATGCTTTAATAAAAGTTACCATAAGAGGGAGCTTGTGCCAGCCTTCTTTATTTTGTTCTTTTGTGTCCTTTAGTAAAAGCTATTTAGAGTTATTTCAAGTATAAAATTGTCCTACCAATCTTTTTCTTCTTTGTTTTTACCTTGTTCAGACTGAGCACAGGACGTTTAGAACAATAGCTTGGAAAGGAAGTAAACAGGCTGAAAGGTTTTTGTGAACACACATTAAAAAAAGGATTTGTTCCTAGAAGATGCCTTTTACATTTTGTCATGGTTTTTTGGGGATCTAGGTCCTATTTTATAAAATCTTTGTATTCCTCCTTATTGTTCAGAATTTAGTGGACCAGAACAATTGCATGTTCTAAATGTACAGCATCCAATCACCCCATTAGCTTGTAGCAGGTTAATGGCAGGTTGTGTTTTCTTTGGCTGAAAGCACATTACTGCTACATTCTAGGTACATTCTAGTCAAAACATGTCACAACCT